AACCCATCTATCTACCTACCTAGTCACCGCTATCGTCCTCCTAACCGCGCTTTCCGCATCTTTAGTCCTGGGAGTAAAGGCTCCGATCACGCTCAGCGGTATCTACCTACCCAACGACGACTCAGGTTGACGGTTGCTGCTCGTATAACGCCTCAGATTGGATCTAAAGGGTCTTTCACTCTGGTGAGTACCTAGTCTACTCGATACCGTGTTAGTCACCTGCCCTTGTCCTGCCGCCCCCCCAGCATGCAGCATGTCCCTGGGTAGCAGTACGTACTGTATCTAGCTATGCCTATCCCGTCCTATCCTTATCCTGCCCTGTCGCACCAGCACATACAGCACCCCTGCCCGGCTGTCTCTGGCGCTGTGTCTTTGCCTGCAGCGCTCGCTACGGAGAAGGTACAGTACAGTCGGACCCAGTAGAATCATCCATTTAGATCATACCGGCCTCCAGCTACCAATCCAATCCCATCCTACATACGACCTAGGCCAGTCCGATCGCCATTGCTCGTGCCGTCACCATCGTTGTCACACGCATCCCCCCCGTACTGCACTACACTACCTACACTACACGACACTGTATTGTACCTAGGTGGTTAGCTTCTTGTTCATCCTTTTTCATTTTCTTTTCTGTTTTCACTCGTCAAGCTTGTCCTCCTCTCTTCTTTTCACTTCGTTTGATACGAGCCCTCGGCCTCGAATCCTGGCGTTTGTTCTACCCAAACCCGATCACTGCTAACTTGTGTTTGTCTCGATACTGCAGTGCAGGCGCGCACCGAGTCAAACCCCGACTATACGCACCCTTTCGGATACCTACTACTACTGCTACCTTACCACTACCTTCGCCTCTGAGCTAAGGTAGCCTTTTTGTCTCGTCTTGTCTCGTCTCATCCGTCTTCGGCTATCTGCCGTCCATAGGGGTCCTTCACTCTTCACCAACCGTTTGCTGGTTTGTCAACTTGCCAGCGCAGATCCTCGCCTCTGGTCCGGGCTTTATCGCCTTCCACCTGGTTGATAAGCATCACCTCGGCCTCTCGAACTTGCTTCGTCCTTTCTATCTCGCCTTTTGGCATTTGCGACAGCTTTCCGTACATCATTTACATGACGATTTTCTTTGCGATCGCCCTCCGAACTTCATAAGCCCCAGGGCTTCAAGACATCCGACTCTCTTCCTGCCATCGACAACAACAGACGGGAAACTATGGCGGGCCCACAGGAGTCCTCGGCCTCCTCAGGGTCCAGGAAGTCGAGCAGTCGGGCTGTAGGACAGTTCAACATCGGTTCCGAGATTGGTAAGGGCAGTTTTGCCCAAGTGTATCTGGGTTGGCATAAGGTACGACAGAGCTCTTGTCCTGACTTTGCGTTGCTTCCCCATCATCGCACGAACTCGTGCTGTCAGTTTGTTGCCTCTGCATCACCCGGGCAGCGTACTAAACTGTTCCTTGAGTATTACAGGTTGCATACGAAGTCCTGTATAGATCAATCGCTAACAAGTATGATGACAGGAAACTAAAGCTGCTGTCGCGATCAAGTCTGTCGAGCTTGAGCGCTTGAACAAAAAGCTCAGGGAGAATCTCTACAGCGAAATTCAAATACTCAAGACGTTACGCCACCCGCATATCGTTGCCCTCCATGACTGCCTCGAATCGACCAGTCATATCAACTTGATCATGGAATATTGCGAACTTGGTGATCTGTCTCTGTTCATTAAGAAGCGAGAGAAGCTCGCCACACATCCTGCCACGCATGATATGGCACGCAAGTATCCCAGCGCGCCGAACTCCGGTTTGCACGAGGTAGTCATCCGACATTTCTTAAAGCAACTGACTAGTGCCCTCGAGTTTCTGCGTAGCAAGAACTATGTACACCGAGATGTCAAGCCCCAAAACCTATTGCTGCTGCCATCACGACCCTTCAGAGATCAAAGGAGTCGCCCGGTTATGCAAGCCAGTCAAGATTCATTAATCCCGATTGCTGGTTTGACATCTTTACCTATGCTCAAACTTGCCGATTTCGGCTTCGCCCGAGTGCTTCCCTCCACCTCCCTGGCTGACACCCTCTGTGGGTCACCCCTGTACATGGCCCCAGAAATTCTCCGATACGAACGATATGATGCGAAAGCCGATCTCTGGTCAGTGGGAACTGTGCTCTATGAGATGAGCACAGGTCGCCCTCCGTTCCGGGCTAGAAACCATGTCGAGTTATTAAGAAAGATTGAAGCGGCTGAGGATGTAATCAAGTTTCCAAGAGAGGTGAATATCACATCTGACTTGAAGGCTCTGATCCGAAGTCTGCTTAAGAGAAGTCCTGTCGAACGGCTCAGCTTTGAGAACTTCTTCACACACCAGGTGGTCACCAGCGAAATACCTGGTTTAGTAGAGGACGACCTTCCTAAGCCTGTCAGGCAAGAGGCTCGGGAGCCAAGGTCAGCTTTCCAGGCGGGTTCGCCGTCCTTATCGTCTCGTAGCCCACGCCAGACCGGTCATGAGTCCCCGACAGACGCTCTTGCCTCAAGATCTCCTAGAGAGAAGCATCCCAAATCACCACAGGTGGGAAGTCCTGGCGATGGGCGATATGCTCGGCGGTCCAATGAAAGTCAGCGCGCTACTGGCAACTCACCCCGCGATGGCGGAGAGGGCTTAGGCATCCGCCGACCTATAGCTCATCACGCGATGACTGCCCCTGTCGAACAAATTATTCACGATAGAGGAGCTGGCCGCGATAAGGTCTCGCCTCCCACTTCTCTACTGAATCAGGCATATAGAAACAGAACGTCGAGCAATCCACCCATAACAGAAGAGGAGAGGGCAGCTCAGGATGTGGCACTTGAACGAGAATATGTGGTTGTTGAGAGACGGCATGTCGAGGTAAATGCTCTTGCCGATGAGCTTGCAGCGAACGAGAAACTCAGCGATGCCTCACAACGATCAGGACCTATGACTCGACGATACACCCAACAAGGAGCACCCACATCCACGACAGGTGCCATCTCCACCCCGTCTGCACGCAACGCATTGGTGACCCAAGGACGTCATGACCGTAAATCTTCCTACGAGAAGGCTCTCTCTGCGAGCCCCGGATCAGCGTCAAGTGCGATCTCTAAAGCTATCCAGGACGCCAGTCTAAGACTCTTCGGATTCAAAGTCCCCCCTCTGCGAGCTTCACCGAAAGGTCCTTCCCCGCCGCTTTATCAAGCCTTTCCAACATATCCAACACCACAGGCACCTGCTGGACTATTGGGGGATGGTCGAAACACACAGGGCACTGACGAGGATGGCAAAGCTGCGCAAGCTATAGAGGAGTTTGCAACTCGAAGTGACTGTGTCTATGGATTCGCCGAAGTCAAGTATAAGCAGCTAGTCCCACTGGCACCATCCGCGGATCATATTTTGGGCGGTCTTGAGCCTGAACAGCTGGCTAATGAAGAAGACGGGTTAACAGTAGAAGCAATTGTGGCTTTGTCGGAAGAAGCCCTAGTTCTATACGTCAAGTCGCTCACTCTCCTCGCCCGAGCTATGGACATAGCCAGTCTCTGGTGGTCTAAGAAGAGCCGAGGAGAAACAGGCACCGGCTTGTCAGCAGCAGCAGCCCAGACAGTTGTTCAGCGCATCAACGCCGTGGTGCAGTGGGTTCGACAACGTTTCAACGAGGTATTGGAGAAGTCGGAAGTCGTCCGTCTAAAACTTACAGACGCACAAAAGCAACTACCTGAAGACCACCCCGGTCATCCGGCTAATCACGGCACCGAGTCGATTGCTTCCTCTGCCGGAAGTGCAACAAAACAAGTTTACCTTACTCCAGGTATCAGTGCCGAAAAGCTTATGTACGATCGCGCTCTAGAGATGAGTCGCGCTGCAGCAATCGACGAAGTGACGAATGAGAATCTTTCAGGGTGTGAGATATCGTACATTACGGCTATTCGAATGCTCGAGGCTGTATTGGACAATGACGAGGAATCCAGTTCCGAAACAAGAAGATTGTCCACGGGTAAAGAAGCTGAGCGAGAGATGATCAAGGAAATAAGCGGTGGTGAACTTGACAGTGACGAGGAGGCCCACGTCCGAAAGAGTAAGCTATACGAGAAGATGATGATTTGAGATAAGCACTAACAAGTACATAGTGATTAAAATGATCACAGGACGACTTGCTGCTGTGCGCAAGAAGCAACAAATGATTGCTGAGGCCAACAGCAAGAAGCAACTTGCTTTCCAGCATGCAGTGCGTCGTCGCAGCGGCGATATGACACCACGAAGTGTTCCCTCGCATGCATCTTCCTGAGTCGAAGATGAATTTCATAAGCATCGCGACTGATATAACGATACCTACCATGCAACTTTGAGATCTTGATGGATTCCATGTCTTCTTCTCTGCCTTATTTGGATTTAGGGCGCTACTGAGCTTGGCTTGCGACTCACAGGAGCACGTCAACAGACAGTCATTGATAATAGGATCTATGTGGAGCGGGCGTTAAGATTTATGTATTTGCGTATTGGCGAAAGAGCATCTCATCCGGCGTTTTTGGCTGTTGTTTTCTTTTTCTTTTTCTTT